CAGCAAGCCTCTTAAGAATTTGCATGCCTTGTAAAAATACAGATTTTCCCTTTCTGAGCTTGTTGAAACTTTGATCTGACACCTTCCTAATTTGCAAGAAAAACGTTATCAATTTTTGTTTTGTTTTTCACAATGTGCGCTTCGGCTGCATGTTAGAGAAACAACAACTACTGCTGTAACCTGCTTGTGACATTTTTATGGCTATAGATGGGAAAAAAAAAAAAAGTTCATTAGAAAATGACAGCCGTACCACCAAAATTGCTTGTCTGTCTGAAAAAGAATACTGCATTATCTAAATGCACATCTGTGCAGGATTTGCATTAGAATCTACAAAATACTGAAAGCAAAACCGTTCCAGGAACTTGAATAGCTTCTTGTAGATTTTTAGATTCCTAAAGTTTTCATTTGAAGGGCTAATGCCAAGTTTTCCTTCTGAAGAAGGATGCTATGAAATGTCAGAAGCCTAATAAAAGTCAGTAAAAAGACTAACGATGTTCTGAGCTTGTATCTTTGGAATGTGCTTTTCCAACTTCTAGGATTGTCTCCTGTATCCCCACCACTGAATCGAGGGGCGATGACAAACACTACCTCATTCATGCATCACCCTGCGCGAAGGTACCGCAAGCCCACGGTCAGGTGGCAGCTGCCCAGTCAGCAGAACTACAGGCCCTTAGATAGCCCACCCTCAGACTGCAGTGGGGTGATGGAGAGGGAAGGAACCATGTACCAGTTACATGGAAAGAACCCAGCTTCTCTTTCTCTCCAAGCATCAGGTAAGATTTCCTTCCAAACATATACCACGTTTTTTTACAAACAAGTATCCCAGTCCTTCAGTCGACACAATGTGAGAATCCTCGTGCAGATTTATATAAACTGTAAACACCAACTATAATTTGATTTTAGCCTCAACACACTTCTCACAAATTACTGCTGGCAGGCCAGAAGTGGAACGAAAAATAGCAGACTCCTGCTCCGGATAAACCCAGCAGCTACTTAAGTCCCAGCACAGTGCCACAGCCAGCCGATACACCATGACTGTGGAACACACAAGGGTTTGAAGCTTGCAGTCGACTCCAGCTGCTGGGGACCAGCCGTTGGTCTAGCAAGCAGGCTAACTTCACCACTGAAAACTACAAGAGCTGAAGTGACTTTTGAAATCAGTGTAATTTAATTATGCTTATAAATGAGGGTCTTCACACACAACAAAAAGATTATTCAAAATGAAGGAATTTGCTGCCTTTTAAGTGCTTTCCAAAAGAAAATAATTTAAAGCAATCTTCTGTTTTTACAGATCACATTAATGAAAAATTGCAATTCGCATCTGAAAACTCTTGATGGGTAATTTCCCATACCAAGTAAGGGCTGAACCGGCAACTTGCGGCGTTTGCTCCAGTTACAGAGTCAGCAAAACCAGGCCATTTTATAATTACAGATCCTGGCTCTTGCTATTGCTGATTAATGCGTTTAGATGCTCAGCCATTCTTATCGAAGGAAAGACAAAAACATTGTTAGAGCTTTTTAATTTATTACAGGCAGAGTCCTCAAATAGCCAAGGGAAGTGCTTACACATACAAATATGTTGAAAACGGACAGATATGGACTCAACAAAACTACTTTAATCTTAATAACCTTTCAGAAAAAAAATGAAGCATTATTATACAAATGCAGAGTAAGGTCCTATCACATTTACTTTTTAAGCAAGCTTGTGACTTACGTATTTAAGTTCAGCATCACTCAGAAACTTTTCCTCAAGTCCAAGTCTAATCTTTTCAGCTACTTAGCGTACTGAGCTTATACAATACATTGTTTTCCAGTATTGCAAGTGGGTAATACTGTAAGTATCCAAGAACTAACAACAAAGTGGTTTAATCTTCAGAAGTCCGTTTGTTCCACTAAAGCTGCACTATTAAAACAATAAATTTAAGAAATTTATTTTGAAATTTATTTGAAATTATTTAAATTTATTTTGAAAGTATTTAAGAAAATAACTGTCGTATTACAGGTTATCCCATTTCACTGTGATAATTGCATAACTCGAAGTTAAAATGAATTCTACAGCTAGAAAACCCACTGAAAGGAGGGATGAAAAACAGAATCACTAGAGACTTGTTCAAAATGAAAAATCTTAATGTTTCAATTTAATAAAGCATCTCCTGCTCTTGAAGACGGTCTTCCTTAATGTTTATAAGATGGTTATTTTGTAAAAGCATACTTCCTTACTCCACAGTTCAAAAGACTGTATCATCACATAACAAAATCATAATGCAAAAAAACCATAACGCATAGCATTCAGGGTTAAGTTTTGGTGCTGGAATTTTTTACGTGTTTCACAGCGAACATCACCCCAAGTTGTTGAAGCAGTGCAGGGGGATCAGTACTTCTCTCGGGCACAGACCTCTCTCCCCAGCAAAACAGAACAACAGCGTAAAAAAAAAATCAAACAGCAAGTTTGCCGTGTGGAAAGAAGCCAGCTGCTGAAGGAAAAGGACAACCCTTCTGTGCAAAAAAAATGATTTCTTAATTTTAACGCCCGCCCCCAGCTTCACTGGAGGAGCACCTTCCCCATTTTTACTGTCATCTATGTACGGAACGTGCTTTCACTTTGCTTTTATTTAGTGTTGTAACAGCTCGGCCTGTAGTCTGCATTTTGTGGAGATGCAGAAAAATAGTATCCAACACTGAAGTCCTATATTCTGGAGCTGGAAGCTGGTGGCACATACACAACAACTCAAGATTACTTCCCAACACAAGCTTGCACCCAGTCTATTTCCCAATCTGCATAGTATAATACTACACATTTTGCAGAACTAGTGAACCTCGTAGAAAACTGGGTTAACTCTCAATCTGTATTTATGTGTATTTAAGCTCTTCAGTGTCAGCTGCCCTACCTTATTTGTATTTATTAGTAGAATGCAGGGCATTTAATTTCACAGTATCTGTCTAAAATAGCTGTAGAGTTGCTGGTTAAAGTGTTCGGGGTTTATTAGCTTTGCTTTTCTCACTTGTGAGTAGATGGAGAGTTGTTGGTACTGCATGATTAGGAAAAGGAGGACTCAGGAGTCCTGTTTTAAAAACAAAGAAAGAAACAAACCACCCAACCCCTCCCCATGCAGAAATCTATGATGTACACTTTTCAGTACTGGAGTGAAGTAAGCCCAAGTATGGCATTTGTAGGGTGACAGTTAATTCATTTAGAAAACCCAGGATCAGAATTCTGAGGCTTCATTTTACAGACACTAAAGATAGATGAATATAGATGTAGTTCTAAAGTATTTTACATATTTTTGCAAGCTAAAGCCACAAAGAGATCATGGTATTAGGCTAAAGCTATGCTGTATGTAAACTCTAGAAATGGGAAGGGACTCATTTAAGTAGTTATTGATCGTAATGTTTCTTCTGAAAATTGCGAGGGTATTGTGGCATCACAAGAATCAGATCTAACTGCTAGCTGCCAGCATCACGTATAACAGATTTAAAATTTTCAGATCAGTTTTAATGTTTGTAGTTACCCAGTGAATTCCAACAAAGACAACCCAATGGTTCATTAGACTGATTAGATTATTTAATATTTTATAAGCTTATTTTATTTCTTTGCTGTACAAAGGCAGAAATGCAAACCATCTCAATAAATCTACATCAGTAACTACCTAGACATGATACAGATATATACAAAAAGCCCAATTATTTAACTTCAGTGTTGATACCATAGTTGATGCAGAGCTGGATGCAAACAATGCAAACAGCATCCACACAGTGTAAGGCATAACTCTCATGATATTTACATCTTGTTCCTTATAGCGAAGGCTTCTGATACACCAGTTCTTTGTTACACTCATATTTGACAATCCTGCTTAGTAGTAGTGCAGCCTCAGAACTGAAAAGTGCATTTCTTTATTATATACATTCTCATAAGGACTGTGGATTGTTCCAGAAAGTTTTCAAATCTTCATTTTTTAGAATTAATTAATTGCCTGTGTTTTCTGTCAATTAAAATTATTTCATAAGCTAAAAATACCATTTTCCCAAAGCTCTTTAGATCACATGCAATTATGAAAACAAAGCTCCTAAAAGCAACTCTAGGAACTGTCATCTTTTGACTTGGGAAGAGAAGCAACCCTGTGAAAGCACTCAACCAATCCACTGTTGTTTAAAATTTAAAATTTCAGGTTAATAAATTTGCAGATCTAAGCAGCTTTGGAAAAGCTCTAACACAGATATTTACATTCCGTATTAGATTTTGAGTTGTAATTAATCTGTCATCTCAGGTGGTTTGTATTTTTCTTCCCGCGGAGATCTCACTTTGAAAGGAAAGTAAAAAAAAGGAATAAGATCACTATCATTGTAGGAGATACAATTCTGACTCATTTCACAAGCAAAATAAAGTAAAAAAATGCCTAAAATTACAAAGTCAACTCTTCCCCTCAACTATAAAGCAGCACTGCTAAAAATAATTTATCTTTTGTGTTCTGAGCTACTGCAATTCCCGCCACATTTATTTTTAAGCCACAACATCCTGCAGCATTAGGGCTCTTGAGAGACTATATTCCAGCCAATCTTGTTCTGGGAGATCAGACTACTACATCCCCTCTTCCGTCTGCCCTCCCTTAGGCAGGGCAGTAATGAGCAAGAGCAGCACAGTCTCATTTGAAACGGCATCTTAACTCTCATGGCGATTATTTCGGCTGAGCTGCTGGGCTCTGCAGCGAGGCAGCGGAGAGCTGACACACACTGCTCCGTCCGCAGAGCGCAGCCCCGACAGGAAACCAGGAATGAGCAGAGGAAGGAAAGGGTCAGGGCACAAGAGTGCCTTGCTGTGTGTGCACATGCCTGACTCTCTGACCTCCTGCTGCTGTGAGGTAACACACCACCAGAGATTTCTCTTTCAGGCGTTTCCTATCCTCCCACACATCTTGGCCCACAGACTATGCCCAGAAAATTATACTTGTACAGTACAGTTTTCAACTTTACCAGAATGGTATGACTGGCTTCAAAAATAGGTATTACATGGGGATAAAAATGTAAATAGAAGACACTACCTTCGTCAGGAGGAACTGATGGCTCAGTTTCAGAAGTGACAGTATCCACATCTTCAAAAGTTTTGGCACCTGGCTTCTCTTGTTCCACCTCACATAGATACACATCAACAGGTCCTTTTGTGCTCTTCACATGTACTTCTATGCAATCCTATAAAACAGCAACTTGCATATAAACCAAAGAACAAATCTTACACACCAGTTATCTGGTTTTGCACATATTTTAAAGCTGGTAGATTAAGAACAGAACAAATACAGGAATGACATAACTATTTAAAATTGTGTTACTAGTTCTACATAAATTATGACTATTACACAGATTTGTAGGCCAGTTATTAAGCACCACTAAGCTAACAAGGTTTCATTTTTGATGAACATGCACAAATCTTCGTTTAGTCTTTTTACCTTTAGATAAACCTTTAGATACATGACTAAGATTTACTGTATGTTCAGGAAGAGTAACAAAATTTAAAACTTGATAAGTCAATGCCATGTATCAGAAAACCAATCAGAGCACACAGCAGCTTTAATAACATGCCAGAGCAATTAAACCATATTACTTCTGCTTTCTTTCAGCAGACATCACGTTGCAAGGTACAGAGCTAATCAAATTTAATAGACAACCTCTCTAAAATACAGCTTTTTAAATCCTGCCTTCTTTTGCTTCAGGAAGCCTCTGAAATTTTATCTTTTTCATCCCCACAGCATGATAGCCAGCTCCTTTTACCAGGGAAACCTCTGGAGGTCTATGCAGTGGATTCAAGTCTTCTGGTTCTATTGATTCATACCTCCTTTTCCTATGATGACATCTCCCTTTCCGTGCACACAGCAAGGCAAATTTGATGACTACACAATTAAGAACATTATAAAAACTCCACACGCAAAAGGAAAACAGAATTAAAGGTTCATTTGTTATCTTCAGCTTACTTCCAGTATTTCCCCTCTTTCACAGCACTACTTTAAACAGTAGGTTCCCAGTATATAGGCCCCAACGCAGGTGCAGTGTGACTGGGTGCAGAGGGCAAAGCGATGGCTCCTCTGTAGGACCCGAACGGGAGGATGCATGTTGTACCGTGAGGTGAAGACAGGGCACAGCACCCCACCTCCATGACAAATCCATCCTGACATGATCTACTGGAGTGCCAAAATGTTTTGTTAACCATACTGTGCATTTCGTGCTTTAAAATTATAGTAACAAAAGCCATCTACTCATTAAGTGGTAAGACAGCATTTACGCGCTGTTAAGATCATTATCAAACCATGCTTATTGCTTTGTTTGGTTAGATTTACAATTTTTGTAGATTTTAGTATACAAACATTAACAGCTCCTTGGAAGTTTCATTACCCTAGTAATTAGCAAACAAACTGATAGTGTAAATAAGTGACATTTATTACAGCTGTTCCATTCTCTCCAGCAAAATCAAATAAACTAAAGCTCAGACATGTTTATTGTTTAATAATTTACATAAACAGAAAAATACTGAAAATAAGTTTCTTAGACTATTATCTCTACAGCATTGTTTAGTGGAACACAGGAACAATGAAGTACCAGTATTTGCTATACATGACAAAGAAACTGGATTGTGGCTGCAAAAATCAGATTTGAGAACTTTTGTTCCCTTAAGAGAGAAATGTTACTTAAGAGAGAAACTTACTTCTTTAGGAACTGGTATTTCCAATTTGGTTTCTTCTGGAGCTTTGATTGCAATCACAATCTGTTCTTGAAATGCCTGAATGCTACAGATATCTTGATATGTCACATAAGCTAGTGTATACATTGGTCAAGGATTCTGTAAAGTAAATTTGCTAATAGGCGCAAGCAAAGATTATGATGTTAAGATATGCTGAAGCACAATACTGACTTAAGAAAATCAGTAAATAGTTCAGCTGAAGTTACTTTAATACAAGCTTTGTAAAATAAAGTATTAGATAACAAGTGGAAAACCTTTTTTCTTTATTTCTGGGAAGGAAAAAGCTTTCAAAAAATAGAAATTTTCTATATTAAAAAGCCACACACATTTGACAAAGTTTTCACAGATGTTGTCATTAAGGCTACAAAACAGAGGGAATATTGCCCTTGAGAAACTACTTCTTTGTCTTGTAATAACTATGCATGTAAATAATTTCCTGGAAAACTACAGAATTATTTTCTTAAACGGAACACGTAAGGTGTAATGGGAATTCTTCCTGATATCATACAGAAAACGGGCACGTTTCATTTGAGCACAGACCTTAACACTCTGCTAGACAAGGGAGCTAAGTAATATTTTATTGTAAACCAAAGCCAAAATCCAATGTCTATGTCATATTAAATCTCTCTTCCCATCTGAAACCCATCTGAAAGACAAGATTGCACTGGAACCTCTCTCAAGAGAGAGAGCAGTATTAGGACACAACCAACGTACCACTGGATCTTCTTGGCAAGAGGCCACTGGGACTCTGTTTTGGGTCCTCTTTCTCATCTCACTAAGCAACTCAATCTCCCTGGTAGGTCAAGACCTGCCCCTGAGACAACTTTAGTCTATAACAGAGAGAACAAGGTGATGGTCAGGGTACTAAGACTATGGCCCCACTTCCATTCTTCCGCAGCGGAAAGGTCACACAAATAGCACTCCCCTGAGAACAGGCTAGATTGTGCATGATACTGCAAAGCAGGGCACATGACTAGTATACACTAATATAAAATAACCAAAAAGTTTCCTATTATAAAACTCATTACGAAGTATTACTGCATACCCGTGCTACCAGCCTACACTTTTTACTAGATACCGAAGTACTCACAACCAAAACCACGTGTTAAAGTAATGCAAGAGTTAAAAGGATATTTTGCATTTTCTTTGTCATCTGTTAGTTCAAATAACTGATGAGCACAATCCTTGATTAATTCATCCAGAGCTTCTTCCATGGCTGACAAGTCAGAAAGTTCATCTTTAAGGTTTTGCTGCTCTGGCGCTTTTCCAACAACTTGGTCAAGATTAGAACCTCTAGAAGAATATGAAAGTTGTCTAGTATGTTTATATAAATAATAGCTTGTTTACTGAACACAAATTATATTAACAGAAAACAACGAGGAACTCTGGCATCCTTTGCTCTGCTGAAATACACCTCATTGTGCTTTTGCACTTGATACTTATTAGTATAGTAAGTAATTCAGACAGCCAAAGATACAGAAGAAATTAAAATATTTTTATATATTGAAAGTAATTCAATATACTTAAAAATATTCTCAAAGTTATAAACATTACTCATCACCACTGGGTTCGATTGTTTCAGAACTTAGAAGTTTCAAAGCCAACTCACACCCACTGGATAAGATTCTTAGATCTTTTCTGAATTAAGTGGATTCCATCCAACACATTGGTGATGTCATACACTCTTCGTTTTCGTACGCCAAGTGTTGTTGCTACTTCATTTAAATCAAGGACACCATCTGGAGCCGTTTTGACAAGATCCATGAATTTTCGGGTCAAATAAACCAAGGACGCGTCAAATCGAGGCTTTTTGACTTTCAGAGTTCCTGTAAAGTTTTGATAGAATATTTAGGGTAAACTACTACGTAAGTATGAAGTGTTCCTTAAAAAAACCCAACAGTGATGAAGTAAAAATGAAGATAAAAGTCTGAAAGCACTGCAATTATTAATGCTGACATTACAATGGCCTCATATAAAGTCTAAGTACATATACAATCATTGCAAACAAATGAAGGTATCTAAATAGCAAGAATGCACCTTCATGCTTTCAATGTTCATGACTTCCGACTGCTAGTATGGATATTAATAGTTGTGTAACTGTATGTTCTGTAGGACATGAGCTCAGACTACTGAATGAATACCAATGAAACTTTGGTTAACTATAGATAGTGTCAGGGCACTGCCAGAGAACTGCAGCTCTATCATCTGCTCCATGACACTGTTAAAATGTTTTTTCACATCCTTTTGGCCCAGATTAACCAGTAGATCTCCCAAATAACATTCTGGCATGGTTCAGGAGTTAGCTTGGTTTCAGGGACTGTTTCAGCCTGGACATTTTAGAGGACGAGAACTTAACATATGGACAAACTCTGGTTGTACTATTTAGCCTCAGGGCAAAAGAACTGGTCATGCCATTGTTTAATTTACTAATGCAATAAAGATCTACAGATACCAGGAGACCACAGGTTTAAGAGAGATCCCTGTGCTATGTGTATCCATTACCACCATATTTGCAGAAACAGCAGAAAAGTTACTGATGAACAGCTCGTTTAACTTTAGATTGTTATTTATGTATATTTTATGCATAAAGCACAAAAAAGCATGTATTTTTGAGGCACAAAAAAAGATGTGGTACACATGCACACTCATCCAATGCTACAGTCAATGAAAGATTGTCAAATCCTGCTGTTACTGGTCTTTTCTCCTGCAAAGCAAACCAGGTATTTCATATCTGGCCAAACTGTGTCACTGAGTAATACTCCAGTCTAATGCTTCAAGAGAACATGTGTGCACGTGTGTTCAAGCACATGGCGGTGTGCATGTGTGTAAGGAAGCTTCCCCAGAAAACAGTCTACTTCAAACTTCAGTATTTTTCCCAGGATGAATGAGACACGCAGTTGTACTCATAGGATATCACTCATTCCATAGCTGCAAGATTGCGCACTCTTTAACATGAAGTGACGGGTTCAACAACTCGGTTTTGGACTGTGTTACTGTGAGATGTGCGAGACTATCCAATTGGTGAGAAAAAAACAAAACAAAAAACCAACCCAAATTCACTCAAGCTTATATTTACATTGATTAATACCAGTTGAAAACCAACATTTGCCAGCATGATGTTCCAGCTTTCTCTTACTCACTTTTCCCGTACATTATTTTGTTTATAGCAGCGGGAAGATATACTTGCAGAAGATTTAAAGAGGAAAAACTATGAAGAATGTGTTGCTTCATACCTGTTATTTCATTTAGCATGCAGCATTCGTCCTGTTCTGCCTATATTAGATACACAACAATTTCTCATTTGTTTACAGCATGTACTCAGCATTGTAAAAAAGCACGAAATAATTCAAGAATAATCTTCACACACGGAACACAGCAACTTACTTCTCACAAACTGTACGTCATCATCCACATTCAGGTTGATCATTGGTGGCTAGGGAAAAAACAAACAAAACAAAACTGACATAAAATGCTATCTACACAGGAAGCTTCGCCAGAAGAAACCCCCAAATCAACTCTAGATGCTACAGCCATTGGAGGCCTGACAAGTCAACAGATATTACTGTGAAGGAGTGTCACTGGATAGAAGGGACACATGCTTATTAATTCCCATCAGACTTTCCAGCCCTTAATCTCAGCACACCTCCCCGTCTTGGAAAGCAGGAAATACCACTGAACTCCCTAATGCTCAAGCAATGGTCACAACACAAACAGGTACCTGTATAACTCTACTGAAACAAGCTTCAGCTATTCCATGTAACAGCTCACATACAGAAGATACACTGCTATTACATAACATTACAACTATATATTACAAGACAAGACTGGCAGCAGAGTCTGCTCTGATCAAGCAACCAACATGGTGAGCCTAAAGAGGTACTTCATTCCTCAAAGGAGCAGTTTCAAATTCAGACTCATTCCAGTTGGAAGAGACCCAAGGTGGTCTCTGGTCCAACCTCCAACTCCAAACAGGAACAGCCATTAGATCAGAGTAGCTTACTTAAGGCTTTATCCAATCGGGTCTTGAAAATTTCAAAGGATGGAGGCTACACCTCTCTGGGCATCCCATTCCACTGCTTGCCTGTCCCCACAGTGAAAAAGCTTCACTTTACATCAAGTTGCAACCTCTCTTGCTTTTTTTGTTTCAATTCATGGCTATTTCCTTTCAGCCTCCCACCACGCACGGCTGTGAACCGTCTGGCACCAGCTTCTTGTTAACTTCCTTGGGAGCTCTGAAGGGCTGCTGTGGCTTAACAAGCTCCCTCAGCAGTTTATCAACAGCCTTCCTGTACTGATGGGCCCAAAATGGACACAGCACTCCAGGAGCACCCTAATACCTGCCAAGTAAAGAATCATCACTTCCCTTGATTCGCTGGCTATCCTCCTGCTAATACAGCCTCATAGGCCTGAATGCCAGCACGTAGTGCTGGGGCATGTTTAGCCCACTGTCCATCAGGACCCCCTGGTCCTTTCAGTAGGGTAGTCCCCCAGCCTGCACCACTGCAGAGTACAGGCCCAGGTGCAGGACTTCACACTTGGAATTCTCAGCTTCCTTGGTTAAAGTTTATGAGATACTTGATGACCCATTCCTCCAGCCCTTGCCTAGCTATCTATGGCACGTTCCCCATCCATAAATATCATGAGGGTGCATCTCACGTCCTCCCTCTATCAACAGAGCTGATCCCAGGACAGACTCTGAGGAATGCCACTTGTAATCCAGCTTCGGGTAAAGTATGAACCACTAGCAACTCCTCTTTGAGCCTGATGATCCTGACAGGGTCTTTTTACTCACCTAGTAGTTTACAATCTGTAACATCCCAACTCAAAGAAGAGGATGCTACAGGAGACTGTTTCAAAACTCCTCCTACAGCTAACATAGATGACATCTAAGGCTTTGGATCTACAGGTCTAGTAATTTCATCACCAAAGGTAATCAGGTTACAAATACAGTCATGTTGGCTATTGCCAGTTGCCTTCTCCTTCACGTGCGTACAAATAGCTTCCAAGAGAACTTCATGATTTTCCAAGGGACTGAAGTAAGGCTGACTAAGCTGCAGCCGGACTCCACAACATCTCAAAGATCATGACAGCAACCTCACAATGACATCCGTCAGCTCTCTTGGGATATATCCCAAGCAGGTCCTATGGACTTGTTTGGGCTGGGATTTCTCAAGAGATTCCTAACTTGACACATTCCCATTGCTGGTCGTTCCTTTCCTTGAATCCCGTGTCTTAAATACAAAGCCTAGGGGACATCAGTTCTGAAGACTCGTGCAAGAAGGAAGAGAACTTCAGCCTATGTGTCTGCTCTTCCTAAATCACTTGCCCCATTTAGCAGCAGATTCACATTTCCCCCTTCCCCCTTTACTGCTAATGCAGGAGTAAAAAGTTCTTCTTGTCACCCTTGACATTCCTTGCTAGTTTCAACACTATAACTTTGGCTTTCCTAGCATTGTACCTACGGGTCCAGACAACGGGTTTTATCCTTCTCCTTTATAGCCTGTCCTTGCTTCCACCTCCTGCATTATGTTCTTTTTGCCATTCCCAGAGTGCAGACATAGCTGTGCCCATCCCTCAACACATTTACTTGTTGTCATGACTATCAGCATAGAATGTCCTTGTCCTTACAGTCCTCCACCTCTTTGGCTCCTCCAACTTTCAAAGTTGCCTCCTGTAAAATCTCAACTACCTGTTGCCTGCATAAACTGGAGTCCAGGTTCTGTACTCTGCTACTAGTCCTCCTCACTACACTCAGGGTCGTGAACTCCATTATTCCATCGCCATTAGAGCCAAGGCTGCTAATGGCTGACTTCCCAGTTTATGAGAAACAGATTCAGGAAAGTATCACCCCTGCTTGACTCATCTAAACACCTACATAAAGAAGCTGTGCTTCTTTGTTTCTTACAATCATCACCTCCAATAAGACGACGTTTCCAATTACCAGTGTAAAAACTCACATAAACCTTTTCATAGCTTTAAGACAACACTACCAAGTAACATTTTGCCCAACAGTTAGTGTTAATAGAAATAAACATTTTTCAGAAGTTTTACAGAATTAAAAGTAGGCCTGTTTTTTTGTTAGCTACCTCATGACATTACTAAAAGTATGGTGGAAGCTGCATATAAGATTACCTGAAGATCACAGATATTCAGATGAGCACAGAATACACAGTTATAGTCTGTTTTTCTCAAACATAGCTACATTTAACTCTACTAAGAGGCTACACGTGACACAGCTAAGAAAATCATCCCTTTGCACTGTATTTTCCTTTCCCGGGCAGCCTGCTAAAATGCCGTGAGGGAAGGAAACATCACAACGCCGCTTTCGTGGGCGAGGCCCACCGCATCTTTCCAAGTCGGGGCTCTCCTGCCGGGCAGGCCTCACGAAGGACTTTCGGGGATCTCCCCAAGACCCCCCGCGGTGG